GAGAAGAGAAAATGTTAGGTAGGCAGAAAAGAAAAAGAAGAAAGGGGAATTCAAATAATGAAACAGTGCTTGTGCTGAGGGGAATATGAAATTCAATAAGAAGCCTTCTCCCAACCCCTCCTCACTCCTGATTCACTCTGATTTTCACCAGGAATTTGGTACTGAGTGATGGCCCAGACTGTTAAGAAACATATTTTGTTTATACAGGAATTAACTTCATGGCCAAAAGGATTACTACATGGACAGTTTAGAAATGAAACCACTTAAGTGCATTGCTAGGGAGGCCATTATGATGCAGTAATTTAGAGCACAGAGCCTAAATCTGTTGGCCTGACTCAGAACTTCAGTTCCACCATATACCCACTGTGTGAGTTTGGGCTAGTTAACTTCTCCACGGGTCAGTTTCCCTACCTGTAAAATGGGGATAGAGAACAACAGTAACTACCTCATAGAGTGGGCATGAAGCTAAAATAAAATAATAGCTGCAGAGCACTGAGAACAACGCCTGGAATATTACAGAATATTGTCACATCATCATGACCATCAGCATTGTCAATATTATTAAAATTACTACTCTGCTATGAAGTGCTTTATATTTTAGAACTGTAATACTAGAACTAATACTAGAACTAATACTAATACTAATACTAGAACTAATACTAGAACTATATTTCCTTTGCTTAACCCTCACCAATGCAAACTATGTTCAGAGTAATTAATGACAATATTCAGCACAGCTTTTAAATTTTATCATTTTTCTTCTCTCTAGGTCTTGTTAGATCTCCTTAAAGTTAAAACTTTTTAATATTTTATTTTCTTTTTTATGCTTACCCTCCTATCACAAAGATAATTACAAAGAAAATATAGATATATGATTAGATATAACCAACATGCAGAATGTCTATCATTTAAAATAATTATGATATTCACTATCAACTATGGCTCAGGGTTTGCGAGATGCCATTTATTCCTTTGCAGAAAAGTGGAACATCATTCCTGGCTCTGAGTAAAGAAGGAATGGGCTATGATATCACTTATACGTGGAATCTAAAATCTGACACAAATGAATTTATTTATGAGACAGAAACACAGACATAGAAAACAAACTTGCATGATTATCAAAGGGGAAGGAGCTGGGGAAGGATAAATTAGGAGTTTGGGATTAGCAGATACAAACTACTATATATAAAATAGATAAACAACAAGGTCCTACTGCATAGCACAGAGAACTATATTCAATATCCTGTAATAAACCATAAAGGAAAAGAATATGCATATATATGTATAACTGAATAACTTCACTGTACACCTGAAACTAGCATAACATTGTAAATCAACTACACTTCAACGAAAAAAAAAAACACAAAGGAATAGGCAATATCACCCACTCAGAACACTGGAGGTCAAACTGAGGATACAGTAACAAATCAACAAAGAAAATAATGAGCTGTCAATTACTCACCATTATTCCTAGTTCATCACAGAGTTCATAGAATTCATCCTGCTCATAAATTCCTCCTCCCCAAACCCGGAGAGCATTCATGTTAGCATCCACAACAGACTGCAAAAGGAGCCGTAATCTACAGAAGAAGTAGTAAAAACAAATGCTAATTTGAAACCTTGGGGACATTAAAAAAAAAAAAGGATAAAGAAAACACATTGTGGTTGATAAACACATTTCAAATAGCTGTTAGAAGGACACATTTTTAAATTATGATGGTTTGGATACAACGCTAAGTGAAACAAAATTATATACACATTAACTGTAACCACATTAAATAAACAAACCTACAGAAAAATTACGGGTGAAATCTTTTCTCTGCCTTCCAAATTTCAGTCATGCTATTACACTATTTTTAAAACTAAATTTTTGTTTGTTTTCTTTTTGTTTTTTCTATATATATTTTTTAATATCTTTATTGGAATATAATTGCTTCACAATGTTGTGTTAGTTTCTGTTGTACAGCAAAGTGAATCAGCTATAAGTATACATATACCCCCATACCTCCTCCCTCTTGAGCCTCCCTCCCATCCTCCCTATGCCACCCCTCTAGGTCATCACAAAGCATTGAGCTGATTTCCCGGTGCTATGCAGTTGCTTCCCACTAGCTATTTTACATTTGGTTGTGTATATATGTCAATGCTACTCTCCCACTTCGTCCCAGCTTCCCCTTCACCCGCTGTGTCCTCAAGTCAGTTCTCTATGTCTGCGTCTTTATTCCTGCCCTGCCACTAGGTTCATCAGTACCATTTCGTTAGATTCCATATATGTGCATTAGCATACAGTATGTTTTTCTCTTTCTGAATTACTTCACTCTGTATGACAGACTCTAGGTCCATCCACCTCACTACAAATAACGCAATTTCGTTCTTTTTATGGCTGAGTAATATTCCATTGTATATATGTGCCACATCTTCTTTATCCATTCATCTGTTGATGGACACTTAGGTTGCTTCCATGTCCTGGCTATTGTAAACAGAGCTGCAATGAATATTGTGGTACATGACTCTTTTTGAATTATCATTTTCTCAGGGTATGTGCTCAGCAGTGGGATTGCTGGGTCATATGGTAGTTCTATTTGTAGTTTTTTAAGGAACCTCCATACTGTTTCCCATAGTGGCTGTAACAATTTACATTCCCACCAACAGTGCAAGAGGGTTCCCTTTTCTCCACACCCTCTCCAGCATTTATTGTTTCTAGATTTTTTGATGATGGCCATTCTGACTGGTGTGAGGTGATACCTCATTGTAGTTTTGATTTGCATTTTTCTAATGATCAGTGATGTGGAGCATCCTTCCATGTGTTTCTTGGCAATCTGTATGTCTTCTTTGAAGAAATGTCTATTTAGGTCTTCTTCCCATTTTTGGATTGGGTTGGTTTTTTTTTTGATATTGAGCTGCATGAGCTGCTTGTAAATTTTGGAGATTAATCCTTGTCAGTTGCTTCATCTGCAAATATTTTCTCCCATTCTGAGGGTTGTCTTTTCGTATTGTTTATGGTTTCCTTTGTTGTGCAAAAGCTTTGAAGTTTCATTAGGTCCCATTTGTTTATTTTTGTTTTTATTTCCATTTCTCTAGGAGGTGGGTCAACAAGGATCTTGCTGTGATTTATGTCATAGAGTGCTCTGCCTATGTTTTCCTCTAAGAGTTTTACAGTGTCCGGCCTTATGTTTAGGCCTTTAATCCATTTTGAGTTTATTTTTGTGTATGGTGTTAGGAAGTGTTCTAATTTCATTTTTTACATGTCCAGTTTTCCCAGCACCACTTACTGAAGAGACTGTCTTTTCTCCATTGTAAATTCTTGGCTCCTTTGTCAAAGATAAAGTGACCATATGTGCGTGGGTTTATCTCTGGTCTTTCTATCCTGTTCCATTGATCTATATTTCTGTTTTTGTGCCAGCACCATACTGCCTTGATTACTGTAGCTTTGTAGTATAGTCTGAAGTCAGGGAGCCTGATTCCTCCAGCTCCTTTTCTCTTTCTCAAGATTGCTTTGGCTATTTGGGGTCTTTTGCGTTTCCATACAAATTGTAAAATTTTTTGTCCTAGTTCTGTGAAAAATACCATTGGTAATTTGATAGGGATTGCACTGAATAGAACTACCATATGACCCAGCAATCCCACTACTGGGCATATATCCTGAGAAAACCATAATTCAAAAAGATACATGTACCACAATGTTCATTGCAGCACTATTTACAATTGCCAGGACATGGAAGCAACCTAAATGCCCATCAACAGATGAATGGATAAAGAAGATGTGGCACATATGTACAATGGAATGTTATTTTCTGCATCTATTGAGATGATCATATGGTTTTTAATCCTTCAGTTTGTTAATATGGTGTATCACATTGGCTGATTTGCATATGCTGAAGAATCCTTGCATTCCTGGGATAAACCCCACTTGATCACGGTGTATCATCCTTTTAATGTGTTGTTGGATTCTGTTTGCTAGTATTTTGTTGAGGATTTTTGCATCTGTTTCATCAGTGATATTGGCCTGTAGTTTTCTTTCCTTGCGACATCTTTGTCTGGTTTTGGTATCAGGGTGATGTTGGCCTCATAGAATGAGTTTGGGAGTGTTCCTCCCTTTGCTATATTTTGGAAGAGTTTGAGGATAGGTGTTAGCTCTTCTCTAAATGTTTGACAGACTTTGCCTGTGAAACCATCTAGCCTTGGGCTTTTGTTTGTTGGAATACTGTTAATCACAGTTTCAATTTCATTACTTGTGATTGGTCTGTTCATGTTTTCTATTTCTTCCTGTTTCAGTCTTGGAAGGTTGTCCTTTTCTAAGAATTTGTCCATTTAATCCAGGTTGTCCATTTTATTGGCATAGAGTTGGTTGTAGTAGTCTTTTATGACAGTTTGTATTTCGGCAGTGTCAGTTGTTACTTCTCTTTTTTCATTTCTAACTCTGCTGATTTGAGCCTTCTCCCTTTTTTTCCTGATGAGTCTGGCTAATGGTTTATCAATTTTGTTTATCTTCTCAAAGAACCAGCTTTTAGTTTTATTGATCTTTGCTATTGTTTCCTTCATTTCTTTTTCCTTTATTTCTGATCTGATCTTTATGATATCTTTCTTTCTGCTAACTTTGGGGGTTTTTTGTTTTTCTCTAATTGCTTTAGGTATAAGGTTAGGTTGTTTATTTGAGATTTTTCTTATTTCTTGAGGTAGGATTGTATTGCTATAAACTTCCCTCTTAGAACTGCTTTTGCTGCATCCCATAGGTTTTGGGTCATCATGTTTTCATTATCATTTGTTTCTAGGTAATTTTGATTTCATCTTTGATTTCTTTAGTGATCTCTTGGTTATTTAGTAGAGTACTGTTTAGCCTCCATGCGTTTGTATTTTTTATAGTTTTTTTCCTGTCATTTTTTTTTTTTTTTTTTTTTGTGGTATGTGGGCCTCTCACCGTTGTGGCCTCTCCCGCTGCGGAGCACAGGCTCCGGATGCACAAGCTTAGCAGCCATGGCTCATGGGCCCAGCCGCTCCGCAGCATGTGGGATCTTCCCGGACCGGGGCACGAACCCGTGTCCCCTGCATCGCCAGGCGGACTCTCAAACACTGCGCCACCAGGGAAGCCCCTTTTCCTGTCATTGACATCTAGTCTCATAATGTTGTGGTCAGAAAAGATGCTTGATGTGATTTCAATTTTCTTAAATTTACTGAGACTTGATTTGTGACCCAAAATGTGATCTATCCTGCAGAATGTTCCGTGTGCTCTTGAGAAGAAAGTGTATTCTGTTGTTTTTGGATGGAATGTCCTATAAATAGCAATTAAGTCCACCAGGTCTAATGTGTTATTTAAAGCTTGTGTTTCCTTGTTTATTTTCATTTTGGATGATCTGTCCATTGGTGTAAGTGGGGTGTTAAAGTCACCCTACTATTACTGTGTTGTTGATTTCCCCTTTTATGGCTGTTAGCATTTGCCTTATGTATTGAGGTGCTCCTATGTTGGATGCATAGATATTTACATTTGCTGTATCTTCTTCTTGGATTGATCCCTTGATCATATAGTGTCCTTCCTTGTCTCTTATAATAGTCTGTATTTTAAAGTCTATTTTGTCTGATATGAGTATTGCTACTCCAGCTTTCTTTTAATTCCCATTTGCATGTAATGTCTTTTTCCATCCCCTCACTTTCAGTCTGTATGTGTCCCTAGGTCTGAAGTGGGTCTCTAGTATATACGGATCTTGTTTTTGTATCCATTCAGCCAGTCTGTGTCTTTTCCTTGGGGCATTTAATCCATTTACATTTAAGGTAATTATTGATATGTATATTCCTATTACCATTTTCTTAATTGTTTTGGGTTTGTTTTCGTAGGTCTTTTCCTTCTCTTGTGTTTCCTGCCTAGAGAAGTTCCTTTAGCATTTGTTGTAAAGCTGGTTGGTGGTGCTGAATTCTCTTAACTTTTGCTTGTCTGTAAAGCCTTTTATTTCGCTGTCAAGTCTGAATGAGATCCTTGCTGGGTAGAGTAATCTTGGTTGTAGGTTTTTCCCTTTCATCACTTTAAATATATCTTGCCACTCCCTTCTGGCCTGTAGAGTTTCTGCTGAAAGATCAGCTGTTAACCTTATGGGGATTCCCTTGTATATTATTTGTTGCTTTTCCCTTGCTGATTTTAATATTTTTTCTTTGTGTTTAATTTTTGTTAGTTTCATTCATATGTGTCTCAGCGTGTTTCTCCTTGGGTTTATCCTGTATGCGACTCTGCATTTCCTGGACTTGACTATTTCCTTTCCCATGTTGGGGAAATTTTTAACTATAATTTCTTCAAATATTTTCTCAGACCCTTTCTTTTTTTCTTCTTCTTCTGGGACACCTTTAATTCGAATGTTGGTGCGTTTAATGTTGTCCCAGAGGTCTCTGAGACTGTCCTCCATTCCTTTCATTCTTTTTTCTTTATTCTGCTCTGTGGCAGTTATTTCCACCATTCTATCTTCCAGCTCACTTATCCGTTCTTCTGCCTCAGTTAGTCTGCTATTGATTCCTTCTAGAGTATTTTTAATTTCAGTTTTTGTGTTGTTCATTACTGTTTGTTTTCTCTTTAGATCTTCTAGGTCCTTGTTAAATGTTTCTTGTATTTTGTCTATTTCCAAGATTTTGAATCATCTTTACTATCATTACTCTGAATTCTTTTTCAGGTAGTTTGCCTATTTCCTCTTCATTTATTTGGTCTTGTGGGTTTTTATCTTGCTCCTTTGCCTGCAAGCTACTTCTCTGTCTTCTCATTTTGTCTAATTTACAGTATTTGAGGTCTCCTTTCCCTAGGCTGCAGGGTCGTAGTTCCTCTTGCTTCTGTTCTCTGCCCCCAGTGGTGGGGTTGGTCCAATGTCTTGTGTAGGCCTCCTGATGGGAAGGACTGGTGCCTGCATTCTGGTGGGTGGAGCTGAGTCTTTTTCCTCTGATGAGCAGGGCCATGTCAGGTGGTATATTTTGGGGTGTCTGTGAGCTTAGTATGACTTTAGGTAGTCTGTGTGCTGATGGGTGAGTTTGTGTTCCTGTCTTGTTTGTTGCTTGGTGTGAGATGTCCAGCACTGGAAGCTGCTGGCGGTTGAGTGAATCCGGGTCTTGGATTCAGATAAAGGCCTCCCTGAGAGCTCTCAGAGATTAATCTTCCCTGGGGCTGGGAATTCTCTACTGGTCCAGCATCCTGGACTCAGTGCTCCCACTCCAGAGCCTCAGGCCCGACTTCTGGTCGAGGGACCAACACCCTGCAAGTCACTTGTCCCAGCAATAAAGGGGTTTAAAAAAAAAGAAAAAAATGTCTAACAAAACCCCAGACAAATGGTAAAAAGTAAAATCAAACAAATAGAAACAGAAACAAGGAAACGCTCACACACAAAAGAAACAAAAACAGAATCAAGTAAAGCAAATAGCAAGAGAGCAACCAGACAAACAAAAGAACCCAAGAACAAAATCAAGCAATTAAGAAGAAAGCCGACAAAAACCCCAAACCAAAAAACAAAACCAAAGCAGAGTGCCAACCAAAGAATGAAGCAAGGAAACAAAACAAACTGAAAAAAATGACATTTTAAAAAAGAAAAAGAAGAGAAAGAGAAAGGGGAAAGAAGACAACAGAAAAGCAATGTAGAAACAGAAATCTAAAAAAGTAATAATAAAGTAGAAAATATATTAAAGAAAAAAAAAGACAAACAAAACCCCAGAGAAATGTTAAAAACAAAACCAAACAAACAAAAACAGAAACAAGGAAATACACACACACATAAAAGAAACAAAAACAGAGGCAAATAAAACAAAAAGCAAGAGAACAACCAGACAAATAGAACTCAAAAATGAAATCAATTAGGATTAATACTAACAGAAACACATAACCTAAAAACAAAACCAAAGCAGTGTGCCCACTGAAGAATAAAGCAAGGAAATAGAACAAACTGATAAAAATGATTTAAAAATAATAATAATAAAATAAAAAGGGGAAAAAACACAGAACAGAAAAGCAAAATAGAAATGGAAATATTTTTAAAAATTGAAGAAAAGGAGGAGGAAAAAAATTAGGGAAAAGAACACAGAACAGAAAAGCAAAGTAAAAATAGAAATATTAAAAAATATATATGTTATAAAACACAGAGATCCCAAAAGACGAAATAAAAAAAAAAAAACTAAAACAAGAACACAAAAAGAAAGAAAAAGAAACCAAAGGGAAAAAAAAAAAGCCAGAACCAACAAAAGAATGAATCAAACATAATAAAATTAATAGTAATAATTATGTTTCCCTGGGGTATCTGCTGTGAAGGTCCTTGCACACGCCGTGAGCCACAGTCCCCCCCCCCGCCTCCCCCGGAGCCCCTCCTCTGCCTCTGGGCTGGTCTCTGGACCTGCTGTGGGCCCTGTGGGGACCCCTCTGACTCTGATGTGGCCCAGTTCCTCCATGTGCTGCTCCCAAAGTCCACAGCTGCCAGAGCTGGACCGTTTTCATTTGTGGGAACACTCATTGTCTACTCAGATGTTCCATAAATGCAGGGTCTTCCTAGCTGACCATGGGAATTTAATCTGCAGCTTGTATAGCTGATGGAAAGATTTTCCATCCTCTTCCTTAGTCACCCCATCCCTGGGGTACAGCTTTGGTTTTATCCCCACCTCTGCGTGTGGTCCGCCCGCAGGAGTCCGGTCCTGAGGCTGCCTTGGAGCTCTTGGGTCTGGCCCTGTGAGGACCGGGTGCAGAGGTGGTATGACTGCTTGGATCACGGAAGCCCCAGCGGCGCCAAATGCACAGGGGAGCCAGCAGCCATGGGTGCAAGAGATATGGCCCTAGTGAGGGCCTTTTCCAGGGCCCAGCATAAGGCATGTGAGGGCCAGCCCTGGCTGGGGTTTTTCTGGCACCCAGCATAAGGCATATAAGGGCCAGCCCTGAGAGGGTGGTTGTTTATTTTTTTAATTGCCCTGCAGCCAGCACGTGGGGGCCAACTCTGAGGGGGCTTTTTTATGTCTCAGCAGCCAGCACACAAGAGCCAGCCCTGAGCAGGCTTCTTTTATTGTCGTCGGCAGGCGGTGACATGTGGGGAGAGAGAGGTTACAATAGTGGCTCCTCCCACTGCGTGGGACTCAGCAGTAGTGCCCTGCTTCCATGGCTGTCCAGTCCCTCCACAGGCATTCCCTGCTGCGGATTTCTTCCCTCCCGTCCCCTCAGTCCGGCTCCCCACAACCAACAGCAGTTCTCGCCCTGGGCCGGTTCTCCAATCCCCACACACCAGCTCCCAGCCCCCTTGCACACCTGTGAACACACATCCCAGTGCGGGGCACATAGGGCCGAGGTACAGACCGTCTGTGTAGTTCTCACTCTGTTCCGTCTGCCACAGATCAGCAGCTTCAATCTCTTCCGACAGCGTCAAATGCTTCCCTTCTGTCCCAGTCGAGTTCCCTGTCAGATAGGGGGTTCCCCGCATTCGGGAATCTCTCCTCTGCTTCAGCTTCCCCTCCCTGGGGTGCAGGTCCCACCCCGCTTCCTCTCCTCCTCCTTCTCCCTTCCTTTTTTCCATCCTACCCAGTTATGCAGGGATCTTTGTAGTCCTTTTCAGTGTCCAAGGTCTTCTGCTAGTTTTCAACTGGTGTTCAGTGAGAACTATTGCATCTGTAGATGTATTCCTGATGCATCCACGGAGAGAGACGAACTCCACGTCTACCTACTCCTCCACCATCTTGAATCCTCCTAAATTTTTGTTTTAAAGTTACTCCTGTAGAAAACTACTGTAAACCTTGGAAAGTATGTGCTTATTTTATATAACCATTTCAAACTATAGGATAAAAATCAAATATTAGTATTTAGTTCTCTCTCATCCCTTTTTACAATTCCTCCAGTCCAGTACTCCTTTATCTAGTAAACTTCCTTTCTGCGTTTCCAATTTCTATTCACATCACCCTCAGGTAAGTACAGAAATTTGCAGCCACCTTGAGAGCACGTACCCTCCATTTCTAGAACAGCATTCAGAAAGGAAGGAGAAAGGCCAATAACAGGATGACCACACACTCAGAGCACTGTGCTCCCAGCAAAGGCACCTATGGGCAGGTTTACTAATTGACCCAACTGTGCTGTACAGCCACTGCCAACCTGCCAGGAGTGGAAAGGAGCATTTGAAAAGAAGAGTCATCAAATTATCTGTGTTGTGTCTGGAGAATGACTGCATTGTCATATGAAATTCAAAACATACACATTTTGAAGTAAAAGCATATTACTACAACTTGTGGCAAAATTAAGAGTTTACTTACCAACCACATCTACATTCTAAACATAATGTACGTCAATGCATGTCTGTACATTTAAATAAGTTAAATGTGTTTATTTTCACTTCACAAAGCTTATTTTCACTGTTACAAAGATAGTAGTTTATAAACCTAATCAGGAAATACTTTCTTGTTAAGTTCTATTCTCAAAGCTTCAGAAAAACACTTGGAATTTTTAAATTTCTTTAGTTCTCTTTATTAAGGTAAAATTTAAAGAATGTGCAAATACCTTAGCATGAAAAGGTAAATATGGGTTCCCATTTTTTTTAAGTGTGCAAAAAAAAAAGGTATTCTTCAAAAAAAAATCCAAATTTAATCATATTTTTCCCCCAAAGGGGCTAACTATCCAAAATGTACATTAGTCATTTTCTTGTTCCTCTAGAAACAATTTATAAAAGTTGGATGATTTCAGCAGTCTCAAATAGTTTAGCTGTAAGACTACCTATAGCTCATGAGAATGAAATAAATGATTTTAAAATCCTTTCCAAAATTTCCATCATCCTAGAATTATATATTACCTCTTGGCTCCTTCCACTGGAAATAAAATAAGTTAAAATGAGTAGCTCTTAAGCTCTGTGGGACTGATAATATGAAGAGGAACAAGAAATAAAAGATGATAACTTACAAGGCAGAGGTTACTCGATCCTGGAATGAATCTGGGGGGATCCAATTCGAGCCTTTCAGAAATATGGGAAGTCCATTAATTTTGAAGTAGAAACTCAGACCACGAGACCCTTTTATGGACTCTTCTATAAGTTCCACTGTCCTAAAATAAACCTATTATTAACAGAATTAATTAATGAATATGAAATTTAAAACATAAGCATATGACAAAACCAAACTGTATTGTTTACTATAGCCTTAAAAAAATAAGCAAAGGAGATTTTTTTTAAAGTAAACTTCTGAGCAGTTTACATGAACATAAATTAGTGTTAATTTTCTATCTGCTATGAAGCACGTAATATGGAAGTGCACATTTTAGAAAGAATATATATAAATGAATTATTGCCAGGTCCTGTTATTTCTCTTTGAAAAGAAAAATACAGAAACCATTAAAGAGTGAAATATATTGTAGTCTTCCCCATGATGTAGGCATTTGCAATTATGTCAAAAGAAATATATTTGAGATAACACTTCAAAATTAAAACAAAAATTGATACTATTTCACAAAAGTGGGGAAAATATGTCACCAGTTAATCTGATGCATCTTTGAAAAACACATTCTCATTTCAGTGTTATTAAAATGTGCCAAAACGTGCATCTTAGAATCAAAGAAATACAGTACAAGGTATTTCATAATTTAACAACTTCCCAATTTTAATAGCACATTATTATAAAGTCATTTTGTTTAATGGGCAATTTAATCCTAATTATCACATCAAACTCAATGTCTGAGACAGCACTGGTATGGAGACTGGAGATGTAAGTGGTGTTCCAACTGGAAGAAAAGATGGAAGCACACAGTCCAGTGTTATCCTTGCTACGTGAGAAGAAGCTGAGACCTTTGTCCCTGTGACAGTCCCGCCAGGTTTCCCTACAGTTAAGAAGTGAGCAGCAAGACCCTCCATAGAAAAGATTGACATTCTTATCCAAATCTTCATTCCTTCCAGCCATAAACTGGATCAAGTACTGAGGGACACAGTTCTATAACAACAAAACCCCGTCTTGAAACCAAGATTATGCATTTCTTCTCTAGTTAAAAATAATTAATAAATCAACTTATTTCATGTAATAAAAGTGCCCACCATTCTTCCACTTTCTGACCCTTGCCCTAATTAATATGACATGACAAAAGATATCAGAGTTATTTAACTTTATGAGAAGACACAGAACAAGGCCTGGATGAGGAGGATCTTGACATGGAATTACCACACATGTTTTAGGATGCAAAAATGTAAAAAAATAATGGTTACTTTCAGAGGTAACTTTGAAAACATCTTAATGGTAGATTCAAACATCTAGAACAGCAGTTCTTTAAATGTGGCCAGGGGACCATATGAGATCCCTGGGAACCTTTCAAGGGGGTTCCTGAGTTCAAAATTATTTTCACAGTAAAGCTAAAACATCATTTGCCTTTTTCACTCTTACTCTCTTTTGAGTGTACAGTGGAATTTTCCAGGAGCTACGTGATGTGTAATGACATGGTCATTCTGACAGCTAATGGAATGTGTGCTTGTGTATTCTGGTGTGTTCTACGTCTCTAGCACAGGTTGAGGGTATGAAGAGGTACATTTCCAGAGATTAACTCAATTTGTTCTCAGTACTACTGTGCTCTTACTAGCTGCCGCTGGTTATTCCTGCTATAATCTCTGTAGCCTCATTACTGTTCAATAAATTCTTATTTTGAATCTCAAAGTTTTCCTTGCAACTTACACAGAAACACAAAAGGACTAGGTACCTTTTATTAACTTGTTTCGTGTAATAGTCTTAAGTTTTCAAATAAAAACGAATTTTAATTTTAACTGAGACTCATTTAAACAATATTTTATCTCATTCTAAAAGAAAACTTACTTTTAGTATACTTTTTCCTAATTTTTGTCTTAAATTGTTATCTTAAAATGGGATTAGAAGACTAACATTCTCACCTACAACCACACTGTCTACATTTAAAAGTGCTGAAAAAAAATGAAACTGACATATCAGAGACTCTTCTGACTCAAGGAAGGGTGGAATCTACTCCAAAGAAACTGAGTGAAATGATAAATAAGAAATGAGATTGTGATGAAAGCCATATTGCCCTCCACTTTGTAGATGTTAATAATTTACCTTATTGTATCTTATGCAATGGAACATTTAAAAAATAATATTTATGGTGCCAGTTACATTGTAGTATCATTTTGAGACCAATCATTCTAAGTATAAAGAAAAAGGAACTGAATATTTTAAACTAAGACGGATAAACTCTTCAAAAGGCTAACATTCTTTATTACGTTGTAATACATTGTTTTACATCGTATTATAATGTTTTTCAAACTAGAAATGACAAAGCACTAGAGTATCTCATAGGGTTGGTTTTCACACTGCATTTGCTGAAGAAGCACACATATTAGCTGAGAGAGTTTTACAGTGGGTGACACTGCTGGTGCCTTGGCAAAAATCAAGGCAGTTCCTCCAAACTGTGCTAGTAGCCATTGTATCCTTCACTTTCATGCATTATTGGGGGGGGGGGGGGGGGGGGGGGGTGCAGTTTCACTTCAGGATGTCCTTAATAAAGCAATAAAAGTTATTAATTCTATTAAACCCCAACCTTGAGTACACATCACCGTACTAGACTGTATGATGAAATAGGAACTATGAATAAAGCATCACGCACGATGGATGTCTTAAGGAAAAGTATCTGGGCCACAGTTTGAGTTGTAAGCTAAAACAGCCATCTGGTTTATAAAGCCTGGTTCTTTTAACTTGAAAGAACTGCCAGACAAACTATGGTTATTCAGACTTGGTGACCTGGTAGACATTTTCTTGAAAATGACTGAAGTGAGTCTTGTCAGTTCAAGGCAAGTAACAGTTAAAAATTAGGATTTAGAAAAACGTGTACACACAACCATGAGCTTGAGAGCTTCCCAAAAGTAATGGTAATGTTAACAAATTTGAATGTGATTCATATACTAAAATGGTTTAACATTTGAAAACATTTAAAAATCTCCAGACGCCAACATTTTTCAAATAACCAATGCATTATATTACAATAACATACATGGATAAAAAATCCATTACGGGAAGCAAGAAGAACTACAATCCTGCAGCCTGTGGAACAAAAACCACATTCACAGAAAGACAGACAAGATGAAAAGGCACAGGACTATGTACCAGATAAAGGAACAAGATAAAACCCCAGAAAAACAACTAAATGAAATGGAGATAGGCAACCTTCCAGAAAAAGAATTCAGAATAACGATAGTGAAGATGATCCAGGACCTCAGAAAAAGAATGGAGGCAAAGATCGAGAAGATGCAAGAAATGTTTAACAAAGACCTGGAAGAATTAAAGAACAAAAAAACAGAGACGAACAATACAATAACTGAAATGAAAACTACACTAGAAGGAATCAATAGCAGAATAACTGAGGCAGAAGAATGGATAAGTGACCTGGAAGACAGAATGGTGGCATTCACTGCTGCCGAAAAGAATAAAGAAAAAAGAATGAAAAGAAATGAAGACAGCCTAAGAGACCTCTGGGACAACATTAAATGCAACAACATTCACATTATAGGGGTCCCAGAAGAAGAAGAGAGAGAGAAAGGCCCAGAGAAAATATTTGAAGAGATTATAGTCGAAAACTTCCCTAACATGGGAAAGGAAACAGCCACCCAAGTCCAGGAAGCGCATGGAGTCCCATACAGGATAAACCCAAGGAGAAACATGCTAAGACACATAGTAATCAAATTGACAAAAATTAAAGACAAAGAAAAATTATTGAAAGCAACAAAGGAAAAACAACAAGTAACATACAAGGGAACTCCCATAAGGTTAACAGCTGATTTCTCAGCAGAAACTCTACAAGCCAGAAGGGAGTGGCATGATATACTTAAAGTGATGAAAGGAAAGAACCTACAACCAATATTACTCTACCCGGCAAGGATCTCATCCAGATCCGATGGAGAAATCAAAAGCTTTACAGACAAGCAAAAGCTAAGAGAATTCAGCACCACCAAACCAGCTCTACAACAAATGCTAAAGGAACTTCTCTAAGTGGGAAACACAAGAGAAGAAAAGGATCTACAAAAACAAACCCAAAACAATTACGAAAATGGTCATAGGAACATACATATCGATAATTACCTTAAACGTGAATGGATTAAATGTTCCAACCAAAAGACACATGCTTGCTGAATGGATACAAAAACAAGACCCATATATAGCTGTCTACAAGAGACCCACTTCAGACCTAGGGACACATACAGACTGAAAGTGAGGGGATGGAAAAAGATATTCCATGCAAATGGAAATCAAAAGAAAGCTGGAGTAGCAATACTCATATCAGATAAAATAGACTTTAAAATAAACAATGTTACAAGAGACAAGGAAGGACACTACATGATGATCAAGGGTTCAATCCAAGAAGAAGATATAAAAATTATAAATATATACGCACCCAACATAGAAGCACCTCAATACATAAGGCAACTGCTAACAGCAATAAAAGAGGAAATCGACAGTAACACAATAATAGTGGCGGACTTTAACACCTCACTTACACCAACGGACAGATCATCCAAAATGAAAATAAATAAGGAAACAGAAGATTTAAATGACACAACAGACCAGATAGATTTACTTGATATTTATAGGACACTCCATCCAAAAACAGCAGATTACACTTTCTTCTCAAGTGCACATGGAACATTCTCCAGAATAGATCACATCTTGGGTCACAAATCAAGCCTCAGTAAATTTAAGAAAATTGAAATCATATCAAGCATCATTTCTGACCACAATGCTATGAGATTAGAAATGAATTACAGGAAAAAAAAACGTAAAAAACACAAACACATGGAGGTTAAACAATACGTTACTAAATAACCAAGAGATCACTGAAGAAATCAAAGAGGAAATCAAAAAATACCTAGAGACAGGCTTCCCTGGTGGCGCAGTGGTTGAGAGTCAGCCTGCCGATGCAGGGGACACGGGTCCGTGCCCCGGTCTGGGAAGATCCCACATGCCGCAGAGCGGCTGGGCCCGTGAGCCATGGCCACTGAGCCTGCACGTCCGGAGCCTGTGCTCCGCAACAGGAGAGGCCACAAGAGTGAGAGGCATGTGTACCACAAAAAAAAAAA